TGTAAGTGCCACTGATGCTTGAAGCCGGATCTGAATACATGAGATGAATCATGTAGCTTCCTCCATCCACGTCATCCCCTACTCTGTACGGCATTCTGCACCACCGCCCAGGTTCTGGTTCTATTTGAGGTGGCTCTTCAAGGCCCCTTCTTAGTGCCGCAATAGTACTCAGGTCTTACTTGTCTGTAATCTCCACCATGTTCGTCACGGTGCCCAGGTCACAGCAGCTTCTCAATATGGCTTCACCGAACCCAATGAGCCATGGACAGAGCTAGCATAATAACAGACATATTTCCTTCATCCTAAAGACCTAGTATATTTTTGAAAGAGAAAGCAAGTTGGAAATGAATTACTTGGTCACTTAATAGTTACACAAATATTTATTCTATGCCAACTAGGCAACTATTCCATGCTATAGAAGTTAAGGCAAATAGGTAATAGGCAATTATATTCATTGCTTTGACAAGAATTCACTTAACCCGGGCTCTGTATCAAGCTGGGTGTAAGGGCCAGGGGTTCAGTGTGGACTGTGACCAGTGTCTGCCCTCAGGAGGTTGCAGTCTAGTTGGGGAGGCTGAAGGTCAACCACTGCACAGGGAGGTAAGTCCAATGCCAATGTGGTGCATAAAGTATGGACATGGCAGGGAGAGGGCAGGATTCCTGGGAATGCCATCCTTGTGCACGGCATCCTGAAAATTTACCTATAGTTTACTCTCCAGAGAGAAAGTGCAAGGAGCAAGATATTCTCATGGATATCTCATTGATGGTCCCCCTTGGGTTTTATCTGATGAGCTAACATGGACCATGCCAACCATGTCATGTACGTTATCTGATTTAATCCTCACGACAACTCTATGTGGTTTTACAAAGGCAAGGCACTTGTTGTGGGTCAACAGTTAGGAAGTGGAAGATGCTAGTCAAGTCAACCATAGGCTGACGCTTATGCACTCAGTCTTTCGCCATAGAGCCTAAAAGTCACAGCAGAGAGCTGGGAGTCTATTCCAGAGAAAGTCCACAATGATAGTGCTAAGTGTTTCTGTAGCTACCCAATGGACACGACTCAGTCCAACATGGACCACGCATAGCTCATGGTTGGATCAGAAACAGTCATTGGTGTTAAGTAAGCCAACAATCAAGGGAGGAGAGAAGAAAATGTCACAGCAATAACTAACAGTAAAAAGACCAGCAATAACTCCAAGACACGGGGTGTGCAACGGGCTGCCACAACCACCTCTGGGGAGCGATTCTGGACTCCAGCCAGGATGTTAATTAAGCCCTAACCACCAAGGCCCAGGGAACCCCCTATCAATTAGTGGTGAGCTGGGAGCCTGCGAGACCTGAGGCCTATGAAAGGCTGTTCCCTTTAGCCAGGTGTACTCCCCAGAACACGTCTGTGCAAAGAAGAATTAGAATATAAATTTTAAACTTTTTAAGTGAACATTTTTATATTATATTTACTATGCTTCCTAGGCTATGTCTAAGACACAAGAATTTCCATATTCGCTTAATTGTTCAAATGATCACGTTTAACTTTTCATTCTTTATGCATACCAGAGGTAGTGTAAAACCAATACATATATGGGGAAATGTCAAATTTTAAATAAATTGCATAAGAAGAAATTGTTCTCCCATTTTATGGGCAATGATGAAAAAAAAAGTCATCAGAAACTGACCAAACACAGTGACAAAGAGGCTCTGCTAAAAAGGCGTCTCACGCAGTAATAGTGGGGCTACACATTAGAACTTTCTGGAAGGAAAAGTGATAATTTCAACAAAATGTAAAGTGTATGGGTACTTTAACACACTAATTCTTCTTCTATTAATTTATTCCAAGGTTTACAAAAAAATATTACTTATGATTATTCATAATATCAAATATTTAGAAACAACCTAATATCCACAAAAGGTTAACTAGACAACAGAGTCTGGTTTGAATATTTAAAAGAGGGTGTGAATCTTTTAGCCATAATATAAAACTTTTTCCATGCTGTTCAGTTTTTTTAAGGCTTCCTGTGAGCCTGCATGGGAATGCAATGTGCATGCCTGGTGACCTGAATCCCATGCATACAGAGTGGCTCTTTATGGATGGTGAGATTTCAGATGATTTTTTTCTTCCTTTTTTGTTAATCTTCACTATTTGAATGTTTGCAATGCACATGTAATATCTTTAAAAATAGAAAACCAACTGTTTCTGAAGCTCAAAAGAAGACATTTCAAGGGTACATAAACTGCTGGAGAAAGAGCAGGGCTAAAATCAGAATAATGGCTGACTTTCAGAAGGAAAGGGGAGAGGGACTTTGAAACCTGCCTGACAGCCTTGCATCAGAAGTTCCTTCCCAGTCCTGGAAGAGGCAGGAAGTGCAGTGGTCAGAATCCTGTGTGTATGGTCAGTCCTCCAATTCAAATGTCAGCTCTGGCAATTACCAGGTGAATGACTTGGGGCAAATTACTTAACCTCCAGTGCCTCAGTTTCCTGATTTATAAAGAGAGATTCTGATAGTACCTGCTTCTATGAATGTCACAAGGATTAACAAAGCTATCACAATGTCTAACACATTACCAATGTTCACTAAACATTAGCTATGAAAACCAGCTTCAGACCACTGTAGTTGAAGTGAGTTAACTTTACCAGAACAAAACACTAATGAACAGGAAGTGAGAGGGAAAAGATGGAGGACAATAACCCAAATAAATCAGAAAAAAAAATAGACAAATAAATATCTAGGCTCTATAGCAGAACAAGAGGAGAGGCAGGGACTCATGACAAGCTGACAAGTCATTTGCATTATAGATGCATCCCATACTCTTTCAGATCCGGCCACTCACTGCCCCACAATGCTTAGTTGGTCCTTCTCAAGGGAGCCAGAAGCTGGGAAAGCTGAAATTGCCCTGCTCATTACCTAGTAATCCCCGAAGAAAGAAGACTCTAAGGCTGAGAACCATAGACAGAATGCACACTATTTTATGACATTCATTTTCTTTTCAAACTCTTTGACCAACTCAGGCATGCTTCCAACTTGTCTTGACCCCAGTGTGATTCCTTGAACTCGCAGTGACTAGGTTCACTTTGCCCTGTAGGGGATAGTCCCTTGCATCTCTCTAGGCTTGCAGGGGCCTTCTCATTTCTCAAATCACTGATATCTTCTGTCTGCACTCAGGACAGGTCCCAAGGGGACAAAGTCATAACCTCACGGCTAAGAACCCAAGCGTTGGAATCGCAGATATCTGGGTTCCCATTTCAGTTCCTTCACTGAGCACTTACTCTCTCTGAGCCTCAGCTTCCCCATCAGTCCAAGAAGAATCCTGACACCTGAAAGGTTATGCTATAAGGATTAAGTGAGATAATGCAATAATGAAAAGGCAATGGAGTGTAGAGGTTAAGAGGAGGGAATGAATGAGTTCCAGCTTAGAACAGCTCCGGGCACATTAGTGAGATCTCGGTAAATGAGCTGTTATGATTAATGCATGAAAAGCCCTCAGCACGGTAAAAATAAGTGTTCAATAAATGGAAACGGTTATTGTTACAAGGCACACTTCCCAAAGAGAATTTTATGCACATTTATCTCCTGGAAAGCAATTTAAAAAATGAAGACATTAGGGAAGATCTTGTCCCCAAGTAAACGCTACAGTCATAGCAGAGAGAACGCACTGTTCTGTTGTCCTGGCAGGGGACCCAGCACCCCTGTGCCCAGGTTCTCCTTTGCTTCCAAAAGACCTTCATCCAGCCATCCACTCCATGAACACATGCCCATGAAGCACCCACTGTGAGCCCAAAGGAGGGCTGGGAATATCCAAGCTGGCTCTGGCCCTCCCATGCTGGAGCTTACGAGGTAGAGGCACATCAAACAACACACACACACACACACACACAGACACGTGATTATTTACGGATGGCTGCAATTGGTGTTATGAAGTATGTGACAGGAAGGTGTAATGGTCTACCGCTGGAGGTGTACATGATGGAGGAGTCCTTGGGAAGGCTCCCTGAGCAAGTAACATTTAAGCTGGGACTTAAGGGATGAATGGGAGTTGGCTAGCGATGCCCAGAAGTGAAAGAGGAAGTGATCAGGCAGATGGGCATTTAGCTCCAAGGCCCTGCAGCCACAAGGGGACGGGGCAACAGAAGGCAGGACTGTGTGACTGACTCGCTCCTAGACCCTCCGCTCAGCAGCACCCACCAGGTGGATGAAACTTGGAGAAAATCTCAGGTGCTCAGGAACTGCACTCAGTTGTCTCTCTTCCCTTCCAGACTCTCCCTGCCCGCTGGCAAAGACAGCCAAGCCTCAGACCCCCAGTGCCGGGGCCAAGGGCCAGCCTTTCTCAGCTTAGACCCCCAGAGGCTACAGCCAGGGATCACTTGCCCACCTGTGAACTTGAGCCACGCGTGAACCACGCCAGGGACGCTACCCTCTGCATGGCTGCAGATGCCTCACGCCTGTCCTGGTCACACCCCGCCGGGTTTTGTGAGGCTGATTAGGAAGATATGTGTCCCCCACTGCAGGAGAGGGGCAGATTATGAAAGGACACAATGGCTCTGAGGGCGGGATCTGTGATTGACAGAAGCAGGGCGGCTCCCTCAGGAGCATCATCATGGATCATCAAAGAAGCAGACCCCCAGGCCACTGATCTCTCCGCCTGCATACATGCCCTAACAAGAAGATGTGCTTGAGTGTCCTGTAGTTTCATGCTGGAAACGGATGCTCCGGGAAAGGAAGCCGCCTGTTCCAGACGTGGCGGTCTCCTTTGGAACTCACACATCGGGAGTCTGGCACTATCCCCTAAATGGTACTTTTGTTGTCTCTTTGTTCAAGGCGGCGAGCTTTTCCCAGGATCGGAGCCGCCTGCCAGCATCTCTTGATAAACGGCCCACCAGCTCTCTTGGTAGATTGGATGTTTAATAATTAGCCTAACGCATTGTTTACCTAAGTGGCAATTATCTCGGCAATGAAATAATATTGTAACTGCAGGGGAAGCATTGCAGAGAGCTCCCGAGCGGAAGCCACGGGCTGGGGATGGCCCACACGGCCGCCGACTCTCCGGGGAAAGGGCCGCTCCATCCCAGCTGGCAGGTCTCTGCGTCTGAGATGCCAGCACCGGAGGCTGCCCCCAAGACCTAAGGACATGTGCCCAGGACACGTGTGTGGCCCCGATCCCGTCCACTGAGGCCCGATGGCCCAGCAAAACACGACGATGCGCCCGGTGCTGCTGAAGCGGAACAGCCTGGAGTCAGTGGCGTTCGCCAAGCAGCCGCACCACCGCCGCAGCAAGTCGCAGCAGGTGCGCTTCAAGGAGGATGGCACCGGGAAGCCTCCGCCTGGCCTGGCCGGGATGGACGTCCACGGGCCCGAGGACCCGGCTGTGATGGGCAAGACCCAAGCCCCCAGACACCACCCTCTCCCCGCCTACTCGCTCTCCTTCCCTCGGTCCCAGAAGGCAGGGGGCCTCCGGAACATGGCGATCCAAACCTCCCCCAGTCTCAGGAAGCATTTCCCGATCTTCAAAAGGAAGAGGCTCCTGGCCAGTAAGTCCTTGGTGGAGATGCCAACCACATTCCAAAGTGCCATCCAGGTCAATGGCAACCTCTCGGAACAGGACATGGTGGCTTCCGACCTCGCCTGCTTACGGCTGGCACAGCGCCTCGAGGATGGGCCTCGCAGGGTCCAGGTGTCGCACCCGTTTCTGCCTCGATTGGCCAAGGTGCAGAGCAACGGGCCGGTGAGCATATGCTTGGAAGCGGGAGCTGGTAGAGCCGCAGAGAAAGCAACCGCTGCCATTCAGGTCCCGGATGACATCTATCCCAGCCCTGCCTGGGCAGCCGAAGAGCCCGCCCTCAGCCAAGACCAGCCCTTGGTGGACCTGTGTCCAGGTGATGGGCGCAGAGTGCTGCCCTCAGATTCAGAAAGAGCCACCTCCTGCTTGAACGCCACCAGCGGTGCCAACCCCATGCCAGGCACAGGGAAACTTCAACCAGAATTGCTTTTGCCCAAAGACAACCCTGGGGACGCGGACTTTGGCCCACGGACATCTCCGTCAAAGGAAGGGTGTGCTCCCTCGCCTCCTCGGACTCACGGCGCTCCCTCGCCAGGCTCCCGCGGCCGGCCAGCCCATCCAGGAGGGGCTTCGGACTGTCCGCCATCGAGCAGCAACCACCAGGACCTGCCGTCACTCAGAGCGAACCACCCGCCCAAAGCTGGCCCTGCGTGTCAGGAGCGGCCGGTGAGGAACCCCACCCAGCCGGACAGCCTGGAGTTTCGAAACTGTCCGGGAAGCGATCATCCCTCGTCCTCTCGTCCAAGGAGGGAGGACAAACTTCAGAGCAGCAGGGAGATAAGCCAGATTCACCTGGCCCGGGGCGAACTCTGCGACCTCCAAGGCAGGCTGCAGTCCGTGGAGGAGTCCCTGCACTCGAACCAAGAGAAAATTAAAGTCCTTCTGAATGTAATTCAAGACTTGGAGAAAGCTAGGGCTCTCACAGAAGGGTAAGGTGATTTGCTTTTTATGTTAAAAACTACTGGGTCCAGTCGTTTGCCAGGGGAGGAGCAGAGGGAGGGAGGGAGGGAGAGAGAGAGAGAGAGAGAGAGATGGTTTCTGTCAGTAGCATGTCTCCAAAAATGTCTGCATTTCAATTGTTTCCCCAAATCCTAAGCAATGGCTCACCCTTAATTCCAACCGGGCTTCCTCAATTCTAGGCTTTGGTGGACTCCCCCAGCTATTTGTTTGTGTTTCCAAATATCAACAGACTATAGAGAAGGGGTTAGGAAGCAGCAAAGCCTAAAAGGATTGTAAGATGTGGGTCCGGTTGATAAATGGTGGGGGGAAGTAATAACCTAGGGGCACTGCCCCTACCCAGCCTCGAAGCAAGGCGCTTCGTTTGCAAAGGATTTGGGTTATTTGTGTGTTTGTCACCAAGAACTTGAGGTGGCCACCAAGCTTACTGTTGACCTTGCCCTCCACTGACCAGTCTCAGGGGGTGGGCCAGGCCATCGCTGACCAAGGCGGTAGAAACTGCAATGAGATCACAATTCTGCAGAGAGAACAGGCCACACGGTGCTATCCTGGGTGACTCACACCAGCCTGGGCAGGGGAGGCAGTTAGTTAGGTGTGACGTGTTTGTCCCTCGAAAATGTGCTCCCTAAAGACTGAGAGGAAGGAATGGTGACGCTTATCCCCATAAGAGAAGGAGAGAGCTGAGAGAATAAGTGACATTTGCTGCTAGGAGTCAGAGTCAGCATTGCCTTGTGAGAGAACAGCACTGAGGTGGCCCAGAGAGACACACGCTGGACTATGGGATTGGGAGTTATAACAACCTCTCCCCGCTCATTTGCGAAGTCCCTCGTGTCCCTTCTGTCACGAGGGGTGAAGAAGAGCAGGCTCATCCCCAGGATTGTGTCAGCGCGAGGAAACCCGTAGATTTGAAAGTGCATAAACGTGTACAAGTCCTCTAGAAACACGAGGTCCCATGATCATGGCTCCTTGTGTATTTGTAATGGTCACGCGGGTTCAGGGCACGGCTGTCCTGGGAGGGGCAGTGCCATGCTGCAGGAAGGGGTCAGTATGCTGGGCGCACCCCCCTGGGACTTCTGCCCATAGATTTATCCCGCAAATGCTCTGTCTTGCAGGCGCAACTATTATCGAACCGGCCAAGATCTCAACAATTGCAGCACCTGCCAGAACACGGCGTGCATCATATACAGGTACCTGGCCATGCGGAGACCGGCTGTGGAGCCCGGAAGCTACGGGTCCACAGAACCTTCTCGTAAACTCTCTTATAGAGGCAGAAAGTCAAGAGAGAGGCAAAGACAGGAAAACCTCTCAATACTCAAGACTTAGATGTTAACACGCGGTTCTAAGGCAGGCATGGCTCTGCTTTCTTACAATAAGGCCTCTGAGCACATCCTTTTGATAATGATCCCCCTCTTATGTACACTGAGTACGGGTACCTTCCTGAGCTCTGCGTGCACACTGGCATCTCCTTTCAAACCTTTACCTCAGGAGGTAGGCATCCATGTCCTCGGGGAAGTGAAGTCCTGTGACCCGGCTCACCTACAGCATTTTCAGAGAAAAGGGCTCAGGTTCAGGACACAAGTCCAGATCTTTCTGACCCCTAACCTTGTGGTCCTGATTATTGCACCTCAGGGCCTCTTCCTCAACAGCAGCTTAACGGACCGAGCACAAGACATGCTCGGCCGTTTGCATTTCTGAGTGCATCATTTCCTTCCAGCAGGGGAAAGATTGCTGCGATAAAAGTGGGTTTTTATAAGTAATAGAAGGAAAGCATCATAGAATAGTGAGAACAGTCAAAACCCCCAAGTCTGGGGCTCAGTTTCCTCATCCAGAGGGTGTGTCCCTGTACAGAGTTGCCACAAGGAGCAAATGGGGTAATATATGTGAGTGCCTTCTGTGACTGCAGAGCTCCGTAGCAATCCAAGGCCTTATTATCGTTATTACCAGAAAGATCAGTGCCCCCTGAGCGGGAAGCCCATTTCCGTGGCCTGGTGGAAATGCAGTCAAAAGCAGTCATTTCGGTTGATGGCATCTAATTCTGACAGAAGTGTATGGTTTTGCTTTCTCTAGTACGTTTCTCTCGGATGAAAGGGGCAGCCCAAGTGGGTTGCCTATGTCTTTTTCTAAATTCTTCTCATTCTCTCCAGCAGAATCCTGAGATTTTTGTCCTAATAAGGGATGGGATAGGGATGGGATGCCTGGAGATCAGGAGGCCCCTACACGTAGGCAGGGCCTTGGGCATTTCTCTCATCAAAATGCCAATTCCTTTCACCTAGGAGCCTCACAACTATGTGTCTTCACCAAAAGGCAGAATCTTCAGGAGCAAACACAGAAAACGCCCTTTACCTCGGTGTGAAAGATCCCCTGCAAAAACTCCCCCAAAAGGCAGGGGACACTGGAAATGCTAAGTAGGCAGGCCTATCCATTGTCACCTTTTTGCTCCCTTCTTTTTTAAACATCTATCTTAAGCAAAGGTTTTAAGCTCTAGGAAGACAAAAATTATTACATGTCTAGACAGCTAGGCAGGATAAAAAAAAAATTACTCATCATAAATAATAATTATGTTTAACTAATCTCCATTCAAATGTTGCATAGTCTCTTTTCTTCCTCAGCCAGATGATGTATTTTCTATTATCTTAAGATGACTTTTTACTTAGCTTATGTAAATGAAAAGGACAAGTGGCTGTTGCCCAGGCTACTGTGAGCTTGGCCTGGCTGTGGGCAGATCATTTCTGACCCCTGAGTTACCTCATCTGAACAATGAGAGCCTTTAATTAGTTGCTCCCTCTGGTCCCTTTCAGTCCTGACATTCGGGTGTTTTTGTGCTCAATTAAAAGCAGCAATATTTGGTTACACTATGACCTTCCCACAAGTCTGAGAATGTTTGCATTTTCCTGTAGCTACTTCAAACATCCGCAGCAAACAGTCTAAATTAATTTACACCCCTGGAAAGGTTAGTAAACCTTCCTGCACATGTCCCTTCCCAGTCTTCCAAGAGGAGCAGCCACTGTGTATATCCACTTCTCATCACCATTCAGAGCCAGTCTGTCCTCGCAGACAGTATCCGTACCCTTGTATCTAAACCATTGCGAAGGAACAGGCAATTAATTTGATGAAAGCAGAGAGATCAAACATTCCCATCACAGTAACAGTGGGAAGATGAGAGTTGTCATTTTTTTACAACATTTCAAACGACTGCAAATCCTGTGTTGTGTCCTGTAAAGTCAGATCTTACATCTAATGAATAAGTGATGTGCAATGCTCATCCTCGGGACTTGTTTGGCTGTGGTCCCTCTCCTGACGGCGGATGTGCCCAGTGCCCATCAGTGTACATAAAGCACACGGGCTCAGGATGTGCTGCCTGCCAGGTCTATCTCCCGGGAGATGTTGTTGCTAAGTTAGCAGCACGGGAGGTTTCCGAAGTGGCCCCATCGCTGAAGACCTTGGCTAATGCTACTTGCTCCCATCAAGACATGTCATTGGTTCTGTCCAACTCAGTCTCTGTTCCAAGAGGAGCCTTTTGCTCCCCTCCCCACAAGACTCCTGGGCTTTCTTCTTACCATAGACAACTTCCTTAGATTTCCATCCTACTAAGAAGCATAGCACCACAAGGATGCCTAAGGACCCCACGCAAGGTTGTCAGGTGATTTCTTACATCAGGGAGAATGGACTCCTTTGAGTTCTGACTGCTGCTGGCTCCAAGGGGAGGGGCATAAATTGGCTCTATGCCTTAAGCTGGCTCCAGGGTATTTAGTCTCCAGTCACACTCCTCACCGATCCTTAGCATTGATTCTAGGACAAGTTTCTCAATGGGTTGGTTGAAGGCCACCTATGGTGCCTAAGATAAAATAAAACTGGGTTACAGAGTGAGAAGGCTGTTCTCTTTCCAAGTTTATTTCCACCCTTGTGTTGACCAAGAGGGAAAAGTCAAAGTTGGTGCTAGAATGTCTTCAAAAGCTTTCCTACGCTTATTGATCATGCTTTACCCAGACAGAGTAGGTCTCAGGCTCGTAGCCATAGGCAAGCAGCAGTATCTAGCCAGAACGTAATCATTTTTAATTTTTTTATTGAAGCTTTTAACTTCTAAAACAAGTCCTCCTAAATATTCATTGTAAATGATGCATGTCTCCATTTTCAAAAGTGGTATCGACTATTTTATATACATGTTTTGAAGTCTAAATAGAAAATTGATTTAAAGAAGAAAAGCATTAAGTCAATAGTTTCATAAAAACCATGAAGATAGTGAACGAATGATTGAAGTTTGAGAAATGGAGCTTGGAGGAATCGGCTCCCTTTCCTCTTCTCAAAAGCACAAGTTTCCCCAAGCCACATCCCTCCTCCTTCCCCCACTCCACTCTCTGCTCCTCCAGCCATATCTCCTTGCACTTCATCTTCAAGTTCACTCTGACAATCACTGCTGAGCCTCTTTGGAGGACTTTGACAACACCAATCATGCATTTATATTCTGGACATTGCCCCCAGGGGGGAAAAAACACACACAAAAAACTTCTTGGTTTAAGTTGTAAGATGCATCAAATGTTTTAAGGGAAGAGAATAAGAAGTCTTTCTCAGAGAAAAATTTCATCTACCATTCAAACACATTACTTGGGTAATGGAAATAAAGAGCATGCTGCAAACTTAGCAGTTTTAATGGGTGAAGGGAGAGGTTTGAAAGGTGCTAGAGAGAAACAGAGAGCTGTTGTTTGTAGGGAGGTCTACCTGGACAGGTTGTCTCCTCCTTTCCTCCTCAGCTTCTTTTTATGGGTTCAACTGTACTCATGGATTATTTATTAATTTAATTTTATTATTTACTTACTTACTTGTTAATCCTCACTTGAGGATATGTTCTCCATAGATTTTTAGAGTGAGTCGAAGGAGGGAGAGAGGAGAAAGAGAAAGAAACATCAATGTGAGATGGATTGTCACCTCTGGCACGTGGGCCAGGATGTGGCCTGCAACCAAGGTACGTGCCCTTGACTAGGAATCAAACCCAGACCCTGCAGTCTGTGGGCTGATGTACTAACCACCAAGCAAAACTGGCCAGGGCTGTACTCATGGATTTCAAGTTGATGTCTTATGACACTACTATCTACTCCTACCTCTTTCATCAGCATGTTCTCTCTCTCTCTCTCCCCTAACTACAGGGACATAGCAACTATCTCAAAGGTATCTCATATTCACCAGCTTTGATATTCACAACTTATCACAAGGAGTCTCTCTGGAGCTCAGGCCTAAGCCTTCTCACTGTGTGCCCCACCAGAGAAAACCCTGGCTGCCATCTTCCAAAGAGCTCCTTGAGTCCCCAGGCTCACCTGGTTGGTAGTGCTGGGGAGCCTTCTGTTCGTTCCTTTCTATGGTTAAGTGTTTTGGACACTGGGTTTTGGCCTTGCTTGCCACTTACAGCTATTAATTAGCTAACCTGAGAACAAGGTATTTCACTAGACATGAGATATGCACCCAGGCCTATGGGTTTAGTAACCAACTTTCCACTTTAATTATTTAATATTTTCCTTTGGTCTGCTTAGACTGCTCTCCCAGCAGGAAGCCTGGTGACTGTAAGAGCCAGGTCTTCCAGTCACAGTCCTCTTTTTGGCCAAAACTGGAAGTCCCACTGAAAAACACCCACAAAGCACACATCCTATCTGTTATTTCTAGTAATCACAGATGCATCTGTGGCTCTCAGCACATTTCAACATGGGCTGAGTAGCATTCACTTCAAAGGTTGGACTTTGCACATCATAGCAATACCAATCGGCCTCCCTCCATAACCACCGCCAGACATAGCTCAAGCTGTCTCTTTAAGGAACAGGCATAAAGTCTGAGGTACATATGGACATTTCTCTGAGTCCCAACTAGTTGATCCCCAAGATATTTGCCTCTGGTCCCTGTTTCTCTCAGCAGCATGTTATCCCTTCCTTCTTCTCCCCAGAGTATAAGAGGAAAAGGATTTACAGCGTCAGCAATTTATCTGCAATAAAAAATGAAACCTATTTTAATGCATTAATAGCTAAAGAGGCTGAAACATGCCATAAATATAAAATCAAGCAAGCTGAGAATTTCCCAGGAATAACAAACGGATGGCTGCTGGCACCGAGGCCATAGTGGACCACAGAATGACCTAATCTTTATTTCTCTGTCAAGTAAATGTAACAATCATTACCACTTGTCCTACCAGGCACTGAGCCAGGCAGTTTGCTAAACACTGTACACACAGTATCTCATCTCATACTCCCAACAACCCCGATGTATGAGTACGGTTATTATTCCCATTTTACAGATAAGGAAATGGAGACTCAGAGAGGTTCTGTGACTTGTCCAAGATCCAACAGAGCTGGGGCTAAAACAGGCCCTCCTTTCGGGAGATTTATTCGGTCCCTTCCCCTCTTACCTGGGACCTGGAATAATCAGTGAATATATGTGTTCACGTTCTCTGAGCAGGCCTGTCCTTGCTGAGGGCTTAACAGGAAGACCTTCCCATCCCAGAGCCACAGAACTCAGAGCACAGGGTTCTCTCAATTAGCCAACAGCATGATGATTCTTGCAGCTCATGTTCAAGTGCCCAGAGGAGAACCTGCAACTCCCTGAGGACTTGTCAGCAGACGCATGCCCTAGGGGGAGGAGTGCCCTTGCCAATCTGAAATGGCTGCAAGTTGTATTTATACACCCTATAAATAACAAGCAAACTTGTCATTAGGAGAAAGTTTCAGGAACGGGGGCGGGGGGTGGAGGAGGCGGTGAGACTAACTCAAGCGCCTACATGCCAAGGCTAGGATCCTTCCCAAAAGGAAAGTGACTTGATTATCCAAGGAGACAGGAACCAAACTGTCCTCGCGGAGCTCACTGAGGCCGCCAGCTCATTCTCTAGAGAAGAAGCCTGTAGGCGGGCCCTAAGTCTGCAGTCACGGGGCTCTGTGTGCAAGGAGCCACAGAAACCCTTGCAGAGGGAGGAGGTAGAGAGGGACCTGGAAGATGTTTCATCTTCAGAGAGGTGTTGTGGACTATTAGTTTCTCAGCCAACATGCTGGGAGTGTGTGGTTCGTGGCAGGGGTGTGTCCCTTTCTCTTTAATAAAATACCAGGCCCCCTTGCTGAGAAAGAAGGCAGAGAGCCCCCTGCAGACCTCAGCAGCCTACCACACCGAAGACAAAGACAACCACTGAGCCCACATATTACTTTGAATTTGCTGTCCGCTAAGGGGGCACCCATCTTCTCTGGATACACAGCTTCCCGCCAGCATTGCCCTGCAATCTGGAAGCACCATTGCAGAGTGAGCTGGTTCCACAGGGGACTGGACGGTCATGCACCAGGACTTGGTCACCACCACCTCGGCACCACAACCCCACATACATTTGATGGCCAGGATCTGAGTTCAGTCTGTTTTAGTGCACCAGCTTCACGGTCAGACCGTCTCGGTTCATATCCTGGCTCTGTTGTTTACTAGTGTGTGGCCATAACCTGCCCTTGCCTTGGTTTCCTCTTTTATGGAACAAAGATAGTATCCATCTAAGGGGGCCATGAGAATTACACGAGGCATGTGGGCATTACCAACCTTGCAGTGCAGAGTCTACAATATAGAATTCACTGTACGAATGACAGTCCTTTTCTTCCTCTTCTTCCTTTCCTCCACCTCCTCCTCCTCATTCTCTTTTTCCTTCTCCTTTTCCTCTCACCTTCCCTCTTCCCCCACCTCCATCTTCTTCATCTTCATTATTATTAACTGAAATTGCCATGTGTCCTCACCTAACATGGTCCAGGTACTCTTCTGTTATTTCTTCTTCTTAGATTAAGATCCTAGTAGTAGCCAGGCCCTGGGCTAAAACATCTCATTGCTCTTTAGGAAGAACAAAGGACTAAGAGTCTGGAAGCCAAGCTTATATTCTGTTCACAGCGTGACTTCTCTATGCCAACTCATTTATCTATTAAATGGGGACAGCAATTTTCCCATTTTCCAGGGATATCCTGAGTATAAAATGAAAGCACAGATCTAACAGGTTTGCAATTTGAAAGTGCTACTCAAAAGTAAGGGGTTTCTATTAATTCATCTGTTTCTATATAAATGTGTATCTCTTGTTGGCCTGCCTAACTGATTTGTCCAGCCAAGCTGCTGCATCCAGACCCAGGCTCTGTTGTTTGCTCATGTACTAATGTATCCATCTACTTTTTGCTTTTCACTATTTCTTTTTCTCAACAAGCCATGACTTAGGTCTCCCACTGCTTCCAATTTCCTAGAAAAACATCCCTGTGCTTTTCACCTGGCCTGATAGCTGAGGCATTGATGTGTGAGCTGGACTAGTGAGATGCTCTTCAGAGGGACACCTGAAAGCTCTCTCCCATTCCTGGCTGACAGCTCACTTTCTAAAGGAGTGCAGTACCACACCCAGACAGATCACATGGGCAGGGCTCCAAGACTCCCTTCGACAATGACTGGGGCAGCCTGAACCAGGTGTCATATATTCCTCACAGGACCAAAGGTCCTGACCTCAACTGCTCCACATGACCTCAATGGATCCAGGCCTGAATTCTGTCCTGTAACGATTTCTTATCCCCAATGTGAGCCAGAGCTCTGCAAACTAAGCCCTCGGCACTCCTCATCATCCATACAGAATATGGGTGGCAGAAGATGGTAAGAGTGGGCTGGGAGGGAGATTAAGAGAAGAAGAGAAGGGGAAGCAAGGTTTAAAAAGTTACTGGTGTTCACCTTGATACCAAACCCAAGGCAGACGGTATTCTCTAGAATCTACAAACAAGCCTCTCGTTGACTTCTCACCAAGTAACAATTAATTGCTCTTATCAAGAGGTCTCTGAATACGGTGTGAGTTGGCTAAAAAGGAAGGTGAAGGGTATCTCCTTCCCTCCACTCAGCTTCAAGATGAAAAGAGATGAGACCCTATACCACATGTGTCAAACACAAGGCCCGCGGGCCAAATCCGTCCCGCCAGGCCTTGCAATGTGGCCCGCACCGCACTGTCATCACTGCACTCCGCTGCGTTTCCATCACAATGACAGTTTATGACTGTTCAGTAAACCATTCGGCCCGCGATTTAGGCTGGATTTTAGATTTTGGCCCCTTATCTGATTGAGTTCGACACCCCTACCCTATACATTCCTTCAAACTAAAGAATAATTTGTCAGGAATAAGAAGGAAAGTGACAATTTTCCTTTGTTAATAAATTGCTTTGTCTAAAAAAAAAATTAATCAGTTTCTTTCCTAAGTTCACACACTTCGCTATGCTCTGCTTTTTGCCTGGCCTTGAAAAGAAAGTTACTTTCAATCTCCTTTCAATTGTCAAAATCAGTGGGGGCAATTGCAAGAGAGGTGGGGGGAGAGCTCTAAGTCCCAATGATTATAAGGCAATCCTGTGGTGTTTCCATAGAAACATAGAATGTATTCTTTCCTGAATGTACATGGAGGGGAGGGGTGAAGAGTGATAATGCTGGCAAGGTATACAATTACTGAAGAGCTTCAGGTATGAGTGAAGAGGCATTCAGGCCATAAGATAGGAAGACAAAAGACTTAGTTAGTGAAGAGTGGAGTGGGCAGAGACTATATCCTACTTGAAGACATTTCACCTGTCATTGTGTCCCATCTGTGCAACTATCCAGTGAGAGAGCTTTATAACCCCCACTTTCAACTGAGTCTCTGAAAGAGGAGCAACTGTCCAAGGTCACCTAGCCAGTGAGTGGTATAAACTTGGTTCAAAGTCAGGAGTGTTCCACTCGAAGCTCTTGCTCTAGCTTCTGTGTTGGGCTGCACTTTAAATCATAATGATGAGACAGTTTCATTCTGCCTCCTGGCTCTTCTCTCCCCAGCCCTGTCAGTTCTGTACACATTCTCGATTCACCCACAGCATTCTCTTTTTATCCGATCAGTATTAGGACAATGCTGTGAGTCTTGACAAACTCAAGTGGTTTGTTGTTGTTATTGTTTATTCAAATGATGAAGTCAGAGAAATGTCACAAATAAGGAGAAAAAGCTGGTTTTTGTGGATGCTTCTATCATTTGGTAGAGGTGTATGGAGAAAGAGCTAGAAAGTAGGCATAGTTGAGATAAATACAAGGCATATTTTAAAAGCAATTGTTAGTTTAACCATCTGTCTCACACACTGAGAAGTAAGATCCACAAGAGCAGTGGCCATGTCTGTCTGTCTGTCTTGTTGTGTCCCATAACTGAGCACAGTGTTGAGCCATGAACTGGATGGATGGGTGATGGATGGATGAGTGGATGGATGGATGAGTGGATGGGTGGGTGGATGGAGAGATGCCACAAATTTTCTAAGGTCATATAACCAGTAGGTACCTAAGCATCTGGGACTAGATGTCAAAGCCCATGCTCTTACATAGCAGTTGGGCCCTTGGGGATGCTAAATTCATATGTGCTGACTTGAATTTACTGTCCTTACTTGTCCTATGTTTTCCAGTGTAGAATATGATTTTCGGCAGCAGGAAGGCAGGTTCCATGAAGTTCTACAGAATCTGGAGGAAGCAGAGCCGGTTGAGGAGCCATGTCCCCCACCAAAGTCCACAGCAGAACCCCCTGTTCCTGAGAAACAGGACTTAAGGCGGAAAACCAAGAAGGTGAAGAAGAAATGCTTCTGGTGGATCTGAGCTTGTTGGGACCATGCCCTCTGCCCTCCCCCAAAACCTCCATGAGATGGGGACCACTGCCCTCAGGTCTTCTCTGCTTCTTCGCAAAGGCCCCAGACTGACAGTCACTCAACCTGCGAAGCCAGAAAGACTCCAGGGCTGGTGTAGCCACTGCAGGACCCCGACCACCAACCTCACCTGAGTGAGTGCCACTGTTTGCTGAGGGCTTCACGGACCCTAGAGTGACCAATTGCCTAGTTCCCCATCACACACAACTAGGCCACAATCCTGGTTTGCGAGTCTAGGTTCCCACCCTGAACAAAGCCCCCATCGACTCTCCAACATCTCTATGATGCTAAGCACTTCCTTCTCATCCTTAAAAGAAAAGAAAAGAAAAGAAAAGAAAAGAAAAGAAAGAAAGAAAGAAAGAAAGAAAGAAAGAAAGAAAGAAAGAAAGAAAGAAAAGAAAAGAAGGTTGTGTAGAGCAGGAAGTTAGAATACAGTTAGAAACTGATACACTAGGAAAGATGAGTTACATACACTGGTTATTTTCTAAAATGTTGGCATACATAGCATAATAGAAATGTGCAGGGCAAAAATGTAAGAGTGCCTGGTGGGCTGGGTCATTTCCATTTTAAAATAGCCCCTTGGCCCCAAATTAAGAATTTGTCATCTCATGCTGCGGGGGCCTTCCAGCCTGTGGCAGAATAAGGTCGCTGCAGGGGATAAGGAACTTGGTGTGATTATCCTGCAGTTGTAGCTCCAGGGCCCACCTTAAGCCACCATGCTTCTCAGCCCAGGGCATGAGACCACCTGGAAAATAGGTGGGATCTGGTTTGAACTTTCAGATTCCACAGCTGATTTCCCTGCAACATTTAAGACCATGAGATCCAGCAACCTGTCTGCTTCATCTGAGCAGTAACATAAATAAGACTAAGATAAAACACAACACTGGTTCTTACCCATTCATCCCTGCAATAGCTTTGTAGATAGGTTCTTAAATATAGTAATCTACATAATCTCCCTTCCTGGTAACCAGGCCATGATCACCTGATTGAATAAGAAGCAGGATGAGGGATATACATATTTTTTCCATTTTAGCATTAAAGACCTTTCCTTCCCAAAGTCTGAATTCTTTTAAAGTCTGGCTCATTCTTTTGACAAGACCCCTATACACGTGGGTCCAGTCAAACTTGCATGGCTGAACAAACTACTAACATAATATAATTAAGTAATTGCTACATACTTTGAAGGATGAGGGGTGGATTCTTGTTAAATTCTCTACCAGACTGTGCTCGGATGGATGCTGCTTAAAAAGGGGATCCTAAAGCTCAACATGGCATTTAATGAAGAAGGCATGTCATACCCGCCTTTGCTCAAGATCAGGTGTCTGGGTTAGAGTCTGCGGAGTACAGAATCCTGTGTGAACATGGGATGAACATACCCCCATTGCACATTGAGACGAATTGAGCAAACCACTCTGACAATTGCACCTGCTCCTGCCATAGTGCTGCAGTGTGCAAGCTCTTTCGGTGAGAGTGAGAGGGAAATTTGGCAAGGAACCACAGCTTACACTATTTAAGTCTTGGGATGTCATTCAAGATGTTCTCGTTCCGTTTCTAGAGTAATGTTTAAACCCACAAAGTGAGACCAGCCTCCATAATGTTAAGTAGGAATTAAGATAAATACACTTGTCATACAGAGGAAGCCACATTTCAATAAGATATGCTATCACTGGCTGAAAGCCACAGATCTTCCTATATCCACACAGTCAACTCTCAGTTGGCCCCAACGATGGAAAAGAACAGCACCGAGGATAATCCAATAAAGCAAAACCATGTGGGATCTCTTATGTAATTTTATCCTGTAGTAGAGCTTCCATCTTAATTCGCTTTGCTTATACTAAGTTTCAAGTTAATTTATAATCTTGGGCAGCATGAATATAATCCTGTTTTGGGAATTAAGAGACCCAGGCAAACAGTCGACTATCTTTTAACAAATGGCTTAAAATTTTAGGGCCTGTTTGTTCATTCTCAAATGGAGATAGAAACACCTTCTCGAACAACTTTATAAGCTCTGTGCATGGTCCAACACCAAATGAGCAGAATGACCCAGAGCTGAGGTGGCTTATTTGCCAAACAGAATAGAACCCAACCCTTGGGTCATTAAAAAGTGCACATTTTTATATACTTAGGTTCAGTTGGAGGTATCAGATAAACCCTCAACTGAAAAATAAAATTGGGGTAGGAAATGTTGACATTTCTAAAAATACAACCAAATGAGACTTCAATGAATTTATACCAAAGCACAATACAGCATTGCTGAGGCCACTAACCTGAAAATGGGAAGGAGGTCTCTTCTGGAAATTGAACATTTAAAATTATTATAAGGAAAAGGGATTCAGTAAAACACCTTCCTGCTAATAAAAATGATCATCTCTATTTAAAAAACACACCCACACATATACATAGACCAAAACTCTATACCCATCTACTCATCTGAAAATCACATCTTTGTAAAATATTATGTAACATCTACCACGATAATCTGCAAAAATGCTGTACTTGAGGTTATATGGTTTTACAGAGAGAATTAATTTAGCTAAAATTACTTTTATAAAATTGAAGGGGAAAAGACTGATACATCACCTTAGGTTGCTGGAGTTTATGTAGCTGCTTTCTCTGTAGTTAAGAAAAAAATGTGTACTCGCTATACTTGGAACTTAAATACCAGCTCATCTGTAGAGCCCCTTCTTAAAAACAATGTATAATGTAAGTTTTTGTAAATTTATAAACTGTTTTAAATGGGATATTATCTTTTGCAATAAACTTACATATTTTTTCTTAGGTTTTAAGACTCCATTACTAGCTTGGGTTGATTTAAACTTAAGAAGGGTAATCCCTGCTCAGCCGGTATGGCTTAGTGGCTGAGCATCAATCTATGAACCAGAAAGTCATGGTTAGATTGCCAGTCAGGGTACATGCCAAGGTTGTGGGCTTGGTCCCTGATGTGGGCTGTTCAGGAGGCAGCCAATCAATTATTTTCTCTCTTATCGTTGATGTTTCTATCTCTCTCTCCCTCTCCCTTCATCTTTGAAATCAATAAAAAAAAATATTTTTAAAATAAGGATGATACCTCAATGGTCCTAATGATAGTTTTCATTACAATCTCTTCTATATGTTTTCCAGGAAAGCAAAGAAGAGGTTGAGAATTTAGGGACATAATGGTGACGCGCCATGTGTCCTGAGAGCAAGTGAGGCAGAGTGAATTAACAGTACAGTTCTCAGCTCATTTGAATGGACACACATTCATGTTTTTATCATTGTTATACCCATTTACCAGGCCTATAATTTATTCAATATTTTTCTTTATTTTTCCTGTAACTTTCTTCATTAAAAGGCAATTTTATAACACTACCACAGGAAACCCAATTGTGTTCTAAATATAGAGGATGAAATAAAAATAATTTTATTAAATTCTTATTACAGACTGTTGAGTGCTGAAAGTGCTAAGCCTGAGGCCAGCTCTCTTTGTTAAGGGAGTTAGCACACCTTCAACATGCGCTAAAGCCACTTGTACACCAAACGTTTTCTACTTGATTGATCTGGATGTTTGAGAGATAATTGAAAAGAAAAAAAAAAACTTTCCCATCATGTTATTAAGTCCCCCCACCCCCGCTGAACCATCTAAAACCAGTTTATTTACCAATCTGTGGGGTGGGGGGTGGACTTAGAGTCAGAAGTCTTGACACATGGGTTTGATATTTTGCTACCTTCTTTTTGCCAGGTGACCTTGGGAAAGTTAACCTCAGTCCTCAGTGAGCCTCTGCTTCCTATAAAACTGAACATAATCCTTGCCTTACAAGGGTGTCTGAAAATTAAGTAGGAAAAAGCCCTGAGCACAATGGAGGGCCCACAACAGGTGTTCAATAAGTGTGTATTCACTCATTTGCTGATTGAAGTACATTGAGAGAGGGGATGGAAAATGGCTTCATGAGGCTGCAGTGGGTTTTCAGGAACAGGCTTGAGATTTTCTTCAGGCAAAAAGTGGTAGTGACCAGGAAATGAACTCTTCCTGCCTGAGAAAGACCAGAAACCATGGCAATGAACATTACTTAACAAGTCCTCAGTGATCCAGGACATGCAGGCAGATCAGCCCAGCACAGCACTCCGAGGAATCAGATGTCCTGGAGGTGAAAGGTACCGTGGAAGTTGGGACTCTGCCATTTCAAGCTTCTGGTGATTAAGTGAGGCCAGTGAACTGGTCCTAGGAATCACAGCAATCACGTGGGGAAGTGAGTGTTGGAAGCAATGTGGGTGGTCGGTGGGTGGAACACATAAGAGTCTACCAGACACCAGCTCCCAGGGCAGCTTCAGGAAGCACGAACGCTAGACTTGAGAGCCTTTGCTATCTGCTTTCCAGTCACATTGAGTCACCTTGAGCTCCTCAGGCCTAGTATGCAACACTCAGAGGATCTGTGTGCACTTGTCCTTCTGCCTGGGACAATCCCCACCATGCCACCCTCCCACCAAGTCACAGCAGAGTGAGCTTCCCAGCAAGGCCTTCCATGCTACCACCACTGCCCACACCACACCCAATGCCCCTCTTACACGGTCACCTGGCACCAAGGACCTTCTATTGAAGCCATTGGTTCAGTTGTCCTTGTACCTATATGTGCATTATCCTTTGATGAATGTCTTTTCATATATATATATATATATATATATATATATATATATATATATATATTTATAGCTAATATGCAAAGTGTCACCTTGGGAGTTCAACTGGGAGAATGGGAGTTTGATGGCTCATTATGATATGCCCAAACATGGAGGGCAACCAGCGGTGGCAGCAGGGTGCTGAGGAAGCAAGGGAAGGAGGAGGTGGAGAAGTGGGGGGGGGGGGGGCGCGGAGGGGGGGAGAGAACTGTGTGATGGCAGTCCATGGGTGGTGAGGGAAGGAAGAAGTGGGGAGGTGGGGAGCAGGGAACCTGATCGGCCCTGACCGCTGGCCACCTACCTATGCTTGATTTTCCTGCACCAGGCCTCTGGTTTGCTTATAACCTCCCTAAGACAGGAATCCTGCCTATTTTTGCTCACCTTTGTATCTTCAACACCTGTGCAGTGGAATTCAAATGTCTGTTGCAGGAATAAATGAGGGACATGAAGAAAAGATTCCCAGATGGTTTCCTGGTCCCTCAGTCTGGCATAGGGCGGACCCATTGGTGCACACCGGCTCCTCCTGTGCTCCCAGGAGCACCCAGCTCCCACTGATTCGGACCTTCAGCAGCTAATGTGCCAGGGCTCCTGATTCCTCTCTGGTCCGCACGGTATTCAGGACCCAGACTCCAAGCCACTGCTACCCTCCCCCTCTGCCGAGCCCCAGCCCCTTATCCAGAACACTGACAGCCCGGTTAACCTTGCTTCAGAACAAATTGCCATCATAATTAAATGCCAACGCATTTTGCACATTTTACCAAGATACTGCCTCACTGTATGAAGGGGGAAATTGGTTTTGAAATTAAAGCAGATTGTTAACTATTTTTTGCTGTAACGTTTCCATTAAAATGCCCGAATTTATTGCATGTGACCCAGTCCATTTCAGACAAATGCAATTTAAAGGAGACAGGGTCTGTCTCGCCGAAGGAGCATTTGGGGCAGAGCATTCTGCCTTGGCTGAAACCACCACTAAAATCAAAAGACAATAAACATCACGCCAAAGGATTATTTGCTTCAAAGCAAACAAAAGCTTTATTATCACGAATGGCTTTCACAAATTCTCAGGATCCATAGCTATCTCACATTAAATTTCACTCAAATGAAACCATACTTTTTTTCCCCCCTGGACAAAGATCAATATATATGTTTTAAATCACCAGCTAAACACAGCGACCTCTTATTGGTACTTGGGCTGGTTTCCAGGGAGCACACGCCATGCTGTGAGGCCCTAGCGATGCTGACAAATAAGCAGTCTTTCTCCCGAGCCAGACGGACTGAGTCACTTTAACTATGGAAAGCAGGAGTTGTTCACACAGCCTTTCCACCCGGCACGCTAAGCCACGGTCAGCTAGGCCTGCAGGCACTAATCCCGAATGGGGAGAGGGGAAAAGCTATGTGCTGCTGTCGTTGTTTTTTCTTTGCTTATTTGTTTCAAGATTTAAGAAATATATATGCTTTCTGTAACTAGGGATCAAAGACAGCAAAGCCAAAGTCACAGGAAGCAAAACCAAGCCACGGACATTCACAGACTCAGCCCACGGTCTTGTGGGGATTTCCTAAAATGGATCGCTCCCTCTTCGCTCTAGGCACCCACCAGCCCCAAGGAAATGTCTCAGGTGAACCGCAGCCCACAATGACTATTTCCCAATAAACAGGCATTGATTGCTGCTCTGTGTTGGGCAGGGGAACTACAGATGCTGCCCTCGTTCACTGTGGCCCACTGGGAGTGGGGGGTGGGGTGTCCTGTCCCTCTCTGACCTGCCCCCCTGGATGTCATGCTGCCTCCTCCTGACCGTCTCAGGCTGTCCTCAATTCTCTTGTGATTATTCTTTGTCCTGAAGTGTGGCTATTTCTAGTTTTCTCCCCTTTCTCCATTGTACATCGTGTCCTGAGAGTAGGAACTGCTTTCCTTACCTTTCCTTACCTGCTTTCCAAACATGTTTTAATTGAAAGGAAATGCTTCATCATGAATTCTTGTCTGTCCCATGTGGCCCTCTGCACTGACCTTCAAAGTCTATGTTCCCTTTTAGTTTTCCATCTCCGTGGATCCCGCTTCCTCCTGGCTGCCTTGGGATCCCTCTGAGACACATCTGGCCATGCCATCCCCTGGCTTTTTTTCTTACTCTCTACCCTCCCACCATTCTAGAACATAAAATTCCTCCCGCAGCAAAATGAGGCTCCTTGAAATCAGACTCAACCCAGAGTGCACAGTCTCACTTCCTGCTACTCCACTTTCTCCTGTGCCCATCTCCCTCCGCTTTCCAAAATGTCAGAGGCTATTACATAGCAGTGACTTAGCACATCCTGTTCCCTCTGCCTGGGACATTGTTCCACTACCTATCTACCATGGGGAATAATTTCCATTTCGGTGGGATATTTAATAGTAGTTACATCACTACTAATTGTGATATTTTTCTAAAAGCTCTGGTTTATTGAAGTTACAACGGGCTATCATTGAATGTTTTGCTTCCATTATCTTAGTTCCTCTTGGAAAAAAAAAAGTATCATGAGATTGCTTATGTTTACTCCCATTTTCCAGAAGAAAAACCAAGGCTCAGAGGGAGATGAGTAACTGGTCAGAATCCACAAGTATGAGGTGGTGAGGGCTAAAGTCCTTTTGAAGTCTGCCAAATTTGGAAGCTTGGGCTCTCTGCTGCCATGCCAGACAGCGAGCTGTGATTTAAATGTCACCTCCTCTCTGTAACTTTTTCTGATCATCCCCTCCCCTGCCATGGGATTAGTCACTCCATCCTCCGAAAACTCACTGCTCTCTGTACAGGCTGCTGCTTTATTGTCTGAGCATTTTTCCTGTCAATCCTCCACACTCACATCTACCATGGAGCAGAGTCCTGGGGGACAGGAATTGTCACCTGCACCTCTTTGGCCCCCCCACCCCGCCACCATGTGTATCTCACGTTGCCTGAGATGCTGCAAATGCTCCACACAGGTTTGTTGAGGGAATTGGGAGAAAATTTGGAGATAAAATACCCAGCGTAGAGAGACAGACCACAACAACAGTCCTCATTTCTGCCCCTGACTTTCTGCAAAATTTCAAACAAGTACTTCCCCCTCCTTCCTCCACCACTGCCTCTAAAGTGGAGCCATCTGGTGCCACAGGCTGGTTA